TCACTGGTTGAAAGAGCGTGCTCTATCAGAGTACAAAGCATTGAGCTGAGCTAAAGCTGTCACGCCATCCGCGGAACTGTAATATGTCTGACCATTTTCAGAACTTCTCACTAGCTTTTTTCGCTGATTGAAAGTGAAATTTTTGATCAAGCGAGCTGGCAAGTAACGAAAGTAGAGCTGAACAAGATGCGAGGAGAAACGCGAGACGAGCGTTTTTCGTTTCACTTCTTTCGTGCTTTGTTCGGCACTTCCTGAGTGCTTTGCAACAGAACAGAGCACATACAAGGCTTCTCTATTTGTTAAATAATTCTTGTAAATCTCCCTGACTACTGAAACCATTGCCAGCTGTAAGGATAAAAGAAAATTATCAGCTCTGTTAACAAGGAAGTTTATTTTTTTCTACTCTAACAACAAGGAGACTTTACGTGGTGTTCAAATACTAAAGAAATCAAGGCAGAAAAACAATTATCTCCCTTTTTGCGTTGATTTCTGAACTAAGACATTGATTACTTGGGGAGCATCACATGGATTTTCAACAGCATTTTTTTTGGACGGCACTTTTGGTCATTTTACGCGAGACTTATCTATCATCTTTCTTCTGTTTTCAGGCAAATCAATCCTATTTCTCCCTTCTTGTCTAGATTATTATAAGCTTTGATCCCTTCCATTGATAAAAATAAGAATGTTATTTCCCTTCGGGGCTCCTTATCTACCAAGTCCAATTCCCAGCATTTAGCTGCTATCTCCACTTTTCTACAGCTACTGACGTTTCTTGAATACTCTTTTAAGCTCTGCTTTTATGTCTCTCTTGAAAAGAGCGTAAGCTAAAGGGTTTATTCCAGAGTTAACCACCTGCAGCGGCATTTTGTAATGGAAATCGTTACAATCGTTGTTACCATGTAAGACTGAGATACTACAACGCATAAGCAATCCGAAACATAACAGGAACACACTTGTAACTATAATCATCATTTTGATTGCCGAGTTGCTTTGAGTTTTAATTTTGATCCGCTGGTTGAGGACGTTATGCTGCAGCCGTTTAACTACACTACGACCTTGACGGTTGTTATAAACAACTAACAAGGTAGACAGAACGCAGAAAAAGAAAAAACAATAGAAAGGATAACCTCGAAAGACATAAATGATAAACTGTTAATAAGAAGGGTAACATGGAATGGAATTTCTTCGGCATTTAGTATTCTTTCGATCGACACTGCTATGACAATCACTACGAGAGGAATTACCCAAGAAATAACAACCATCTGAGTGACTCTGCGGCGCGTTACAAAAGTCAAATACTTTAAAGGTTTCACCACGGCGATGTAGCGTTCCAGAACTAAACTAAGCAAGTTTGATCCAGATGCATAGACTATGAATATTCTTATATACAGCACAAGCAATCCTTCTATATTTGGTGGGTTGCAATTTGCAAGGTTGCATACAAAAGGTGAAAGAACAGCAATCAGCCCGACACAAAAATCAGCCACTGCTAAAGAAACGATGAATGTATTGGTTTTGGTGCGAAGCTGACGTCTTCTGCAGACGAGGAAGATGACAAATCCATTTCCAACCATCGTGAGGATGGAAAGGAAGCAGGCGAGAACCCAAAACCACGTTTCCATTGCCTAAATTTCCTCTTTTCTGGCTTCCAAGCAATTTGCACGTATTTGAAATCTGCAAGAAGGTGTTATTGAGTTTTAATGAAGCGTTAGTTATTTTTCTGAACCATATGGTTTCATTTGCATGCATTTTTCATGAGAACTAGCTCATTGTTTCAAGTTAGTTCTTAACGCTATTAGTAGAATGTTGTTTCCTTAAATAGCAATTATATCTCAGAGCATTCAGCTGGTCAAAGATTGGTTTGCTTAAGGCAGATTAATTTTTAAGACTAAAGAAAAATCATTGAATATCGTCCCAAATAGAATTAAATTCTGTAGCAAAACCATTATTCAATTCACATCTTTGGGCCAAAAATCAGTTAAAGTTTTTAGAATTTAAAATGCGCTTTTGCGCATTTTAAATTCTAAAACTTTAATTTTTCACGAGTATAACCAATCAGAAAGTGATGGGTGCTGCTCCGATTATCTTAAAATCTCATCATCCGAGTCAAGACCAACGACAAAAAGCAATTATACGAATCCCTGGAAGTGAGAGCTCCAAATAACATAACTCTGAGTAAAATTTGAAATGGCACTCCCTCGCGGTCTTTTTGCATTGTTGAAAAAAGGAAACATATACATATATAAAGCGTTGTAATCAAAAATAAATATGAAAAATATACACCTTTTCTTTTCCCATGAAAGAGGTGTTGACGGAATGAATTAAAGAGATAATCTTCAAAAAAGAAAATATAATAACTGCTGCCAAAGTTACAATACAATACAATACATATATACTTTTACATTGCAACATGTTTGAAAACGGTAGCATATGAACATATATGTATGTTTTTCATGGAGTGAAAATAACTTAGTAAAATTATCCAAGGCATTTGATTTTTGATCCAAGATAAACTGGAAATAGATTGACTAGGTTTGGAGCAGGGCATGAATGTAAATAGACTTTGTCATTACTTTGTCTTACGGACAGAAGATTCTTTTTTGTTTCACAGTGCCCAGAAGTTATGATGCAAGATAGAATTTACCAACTTCTTGAGATATAATTTATCTTTACGTCGAACTCCTCCACCTATTTTTTGACTGTGAATAGCTGTGCAAAGTGTTTCTCTGCTTTGAAAACTTAGTAAAGTTAGAGTGACTTTTGTCGTGCTGCGCGTGGATTCGACGATTGAAATTTCAGTCCAGCATTACATAATAGCTCTCTGCGGCAGCAAAAACTTCGAAAACATCGATATGTGGTCTTAAATCTTGGAAATTTAGGTGAAATAAACCCCACATTCTTACTAGTATTTTTTTAATACTTATTTTATGAGGATAAATTAATGTATCATAGATAGATCCACATCCGAACATGGTAAGGTTCAACAAGACCGGTATTGTAAAAAAAAAAAAATTAAAAAAAAAACAACTCAGGCATCAACTGAAATAGTTCTTACTTACGAACAGGGGCTGGGTATTAAATCAACGACGCCTCTTGAAGAGAATGGTTTTACATTCTTGCCTTATGTCCCTTTTGAAGAAAGCATAAGCTATGGGATTTCATCCAAAGTTAATCTGTGCACTGACGACCCATTAAAACGGAAAACTACAACTGATAAGTATTCAATAAAACAACAGAAACACGCGCGTTACCAACGCTACTCTTTTTCTGCTGACATATTCCGAGTTTTACCACTAACGACCCGTTGATTAAACTGCAACTGCAAAAAATAAAAAAGCGATCTTTTAAGAATTCTGCCAGTAAACAACACGAAACATCGATGCAACACAAAAGATTAAAGTTATGCCTCGAAAAGCAAATAAAAGTAGCCGGTGATAGTCCTGATATGATCAGTTTAGTTGAATCCAATCGATCGCAGCGATACAGTCAAAGGAAAAAGAAAAGCAATTCCCTAAAAGAGGTAAGAACCATTTGAATGACTCGGCGGCGCTTCAGAAAAGTCAAAGTATTTCAAAGGTTTCACGACGGCGACATAGCGTTCTAATACTAAAAAATAAACAAGTTTGTTCCAGAAGCGTAAATGAAGAACACCCACAGACTTATTATAAGTAATATTGCTTTTTCATCGCAGATGCGCTTATTTTCCATTTTACAAAGAAATGGTGACGCAACAGCAATCATCCCGACACAAAAATCAGCCACTGCTAAAGACAAGATGATGTGTTGGTTTTGATGTGAAGCTGACGTTTACTGCAGGCGAGGAAGATGACAAACCCATTTTCAGCCATCTTTAGGATGCAAAGGAACCATTTATTTATTTTTTTTTTTTAAGAATGGCTGTCTAGGATTTTACAATTGCTTTAATTTTTTAGAGCAGGGAGAGTTTTCAAATGTTATACAAAGGAAAAATTGTGTGCATATGTGTTTTATAAAACCATCCGGTCTCATCGGGCTACACTTTGTGTAAACGTTAGTTACGTCAATAGCCATTGTTATGTAAAGTCACGTTTAAAGCGGCAGACATCAATCATTCTTCAAAAAAATATTTTAGACACTTTGACAGACGGAGAAGCATAGGCCAATCAGAATGTAATGTAATAACCATTCAACGTGTGCTATTTCTCGAAAATTATGGCACATTATTAGTTTTGCATAATGGTGTAGAATAAAGTCTGAAAATGATGAAAGTTAACCTACTTTTTTTTTTTTTAAATGGTAGCAAAACAGATATCTTCCATCACAAAAACATGATACCAAAATTATTTTTCAAAGAAAATGTCTCACTAGTCACATCTCAGACTGCAAACTTGAGTTACCCCGCTATGTTTACCATCAGGCTTTGAAAAAGTTGCATGCATAACCGTAATACCATAGTACCTAAATGTATATTATAAAATACCTAACTTTGTGGATAGAATAAGAGAGATCTACAAAGTTACGCTATCGACATTGCTGATCCTAGAGGTAAGGAGGACGCGTGTCATGTGAACTTCGTAAGACACCTCTCTCACCGTGGAGTCTCTGTGGCTCAGTGCTGGAGCATTGGAGCGCGGAGGCCGAAGTTCTGAGTTTCAATTCCTCGTGAGGACTCAGAATTTTTTCATTGTCCCACGCTCGTTAGAAGACAAAAGAAATGCCTAAGTTATAAAAAAATTCCGTAACCGCTATTGCAAAATGCGTAGGTTTTTTCGAAGAATCCATCGCTATTACAAAAAGGCCGCAGAACAGCTGACTCTTACACAATAAAAATGAGTTATCCTTGTTTCATTAGAAGTCTTTCGTTTTAACATCAATTGAGATAAGAATTAATACAACGCAGATCCTGAACCGGATGACCTTTGGATCCAGGCTCGGAAGCTAAGGGAAGAGTTACGTTTACACATCAACATTTTCTTGCGCATGAACAGCTCTGTAGTAAATCAACGACGTCTTCTACAGAGAAACCTTTTACATTCTTGTTTTATGTCCCTTTTGAAGCAAGCGTAAGCTAAAGGGTTTATTCCAGAGTTAATCGCTTGTTAAGTTCCTTTATAATGAAAATAATTACATGGATGACCTGTCAAAACTAACAAACTGCAGCGCATGATTATTCCGTAACACGATAGAAATACAATCATTACCAAAGCGACCCATTTTACCGCGGACGAGTTCTGAGTTTTAACTTTATACTCAGCGACCATTTGATTAAAGCGCGATTGCTTAGCTAAAATGTTATCTTTAGATTTTTGCTTGTGAACGACAAGAAGCATAGACGAAAGGTAAAATAATAAAATTACGCACAAGCTTACCTCAAAAAACAAATGCAAATAGCCGCTGATACGATGGACTGAATTGAGTTTCTTGACAATACTATAAGATTGAAAAGAAAATGGATTCCCCAAGATATAAGAACCATTTGATTGACTAGGTGGCGCTTCATAAGAGTTAAGTATTTCAAAGGTTTCACGACGACGATATATCGTTCCGATACTAAAGTAATCAAGTTTGTTCCAGAGGCGTGAAGTATGAAAACCCATATATATGTTATAATCAAATTTGATTTTTTTAACGGACCTGCTCTCATTCATCACGTCGCAAAGAAATTCTGAGGGAACTGCTATCATCCCATGACAAAAAATCAGCCACCACTAAAGACACGATGAATGTATTGCTTTTCGTGCGAAGCTGACGTTTGTTGCAGACGAGGAAGATGACAAATCCATTTCCAGTCATCGTTAGGATACAGAGGAACCAGCTGAAAACCCAAAACCAAGTTTCCATTGAAGTTCTTCTCGGTGGCTGTTCGGGACTCTTCAATTGTCTTCTTGTTTATAGGGGAGAGGACTTTTAAAAACTTTCAGAAGGAACGTTATATTTACAAAGGGGTCTTACAAAACACTCTGGCCCCTTCTACCGTTTGTGTGAAAGCTAGTTATGTAAATAGCTTTTGTTACGTATCCTAATACATTTTTATCAGATGCTTTAATGCCTGTTTATTGGCTTTGCAAAAGCACGGACCGACAAAATTGGTTAATTCTTCCTGAATTAATTTTATTTTCTCCCCATCACTTGATAAGTTTAACTTTACCTTACATTAAATATTACAAAAAGGTTCTATTTTGAGAATATCAGTATCGCAAGCAAGAACTGAATTGATCAGAATTAGACACCTATTTCAAAATTATTTCCATTGAAGTTAACTTCAAAACACTTAATCGATAGTCAGTGCGAAGCCAAAATCGCCTACTTTTAGTTAAAGTGATTGACGTCACTACATAAATTCTAATTAGATTTGATATCCTTAATGACCGGATAATTCTCTACTGTTCCAATTTAAAAGCTTAGAACTTAATCTTATAATTTTTTTACTAGAAGACGTCGATATGCAAAACCTAACCTGACATGTAGAATTAAGTCGCTCCCCTTATGATTCAGCAGAGCTGAAAAATTGATGCAGATGAAAGATAGAATTACTATAAATTTATTGCGACAAAATTTATTCCTTCATTTCAAGCGCGATATTTTCTTTAATGTCATGCAAAGGGCACGTTCATTCGCCGGGAATAGGTCTTAAAGTGATCCAGTGTTATGAAAGCCTAGAAAAAAAAAGATATCAAATATATATAAATCCATAGACATTGTTTGCAGGGATAGAATCTCGAGCTTTTCCTCATTTGTCTCGTTAAAAAAGTTTGTTCTTCATTTAAGTTTCAAATGCTAGCACCAAGGGATTTGGTGTGTGCACCAACAAAAAAATATGAAAAAATTTCGGGCGCGTTCGCGCTCGACAAGAGCAATTTCTTTTCACGTAGTTATTTTTGTTGCGTTAGTTTGGTTGTGCCAACAAAAAAATATGAAAAAATTTCGGGCGCGTTCGCGCTCGACAAGAGCAATTTCTTTTCACGTAGTTATTTTCGTTGCGTTAGTTTGGTTGTGCGGTTCTTTCACTGAAAAATGTGCAAAGCCAACAAAAGCGGCCGCAAATGTGCCGGCCGAAAGTATTTTCTGTCCGAAGATTTAGCCAATTAATCTGAACAACCGAACAAGACATAAATAGCGTGCACAACCGGAAATGCCGGAAGTTGACGCATGCGTATACGTTTTGCCGCGGTGTTTCTGTTAAGTATTATTTATCATCCTGATGTCAAAATGTTGTAAGAACAATAAAGTGAGGTGCAGGTGAGAGTGTCACTGATGCTCTTACCGCATATTGACATCCTCTCTAACATATGACTGAGTAGACCCATGGCAACATAAATTCATCTTGTTCTATATGATAACAAAGAAAAACAGTATGTTAATGACGAGGTCATGTAGGCGTCTATCCTGTAATACATCATACGAGAGAATTACCTACAGATGAATGGATCCATGCAACTTTTTTTCCAAGAAAGACTGAAAAAATAGGCTGACACCAACAGTGTCAAAAATTATTTCTTATTCATACAAAATAAAGTTCGTGCACGCGAGTTGCGCGAACGCATTTTTGATCGCTCAGCGCTGATTCAGATGTTTCTGTCTAACTATGCTTAATCCGTCAGTTAATTCGCCTAAAGAAGAGAGTGAAAGCCCCCAATTCGAAATTGCTGCTCTGAAGAAAACTTTCGAAGATTTTCAGAGTTCTCTTAAACGTACCATGATCGATGTTTATGTCTCTAGCAATGACGGCGAAGTGCGTCGGCTGGCAATATTTCAGCAAGGGACTTTGAATATCCTGCAATTCTATGGAAATTAGTACGATGACCCTCGCCAGGAAGCGGACAAAAGTTTGCAACAGCTCTGGTCTCTCCTGAATGTCCTGACCAGAAGAATTGAAGAGAAAAATCCATCGAGCTGATTCAGCGCTACAATTATCAATATAGCGTAAAGATCCCGGCTAAGTCTCCCTGAAAGAAAAGCTAGTGAGTTTTCCTCCGACACAACTATACTATGTCGAAGCCTCTTTCAAGCTGCAGGAGTTGAAATTTCAATTCAAGATATCGATATTGGTGATCACACTCCCACCAGAAGGGCCACTCCTGGCCTGAGACTAGTCGTATGCAGGATTACTCGAAGGATTGCCGAAGAAAGGTTATAAATGGACGGAAAGATGCTTCAAAGATTATAGCTTCTTCAATTGGTTTACGGGCCGATTGTAAATTAGAAAACGCGAGGCTTTTTAATCATTCAACTAACATTGCAGGTCCAATAACTCCTGGCGGATCCAAAAAAACATCAAATTCGTAATGGCTTCAGGTTACCTCGAAAGATTTGCTCAACAGGGGAGCCTAATACCCGTAATTAAGTACTCTGAATTTTTTAACTTAATCTGTAATTCAATGTGTTGTTTCTATGATGGCTGATGAGACATCTCCTTATATCACCTCCCTTTAAATCGCAAGGGGATAGTTTTTTTAATTAAGCAATTTATAAATATTCTCATGGTTCCCTGAGTTACAACGGCGATCGTCTTCAAACATTTTAATTTAACCCTGTTGAACGGCTTCAATCTTTTGAATTCGCTTTCTAGTTATCTGAATCTTGACTCCAACTTTGTCACTCGTTTGCCCAACAGTGGCTATATGGTTAAGGAAGATCTAAACATTAGGGTAACTTCTTTTCGGCCAGCTAGTAACAAAATAATAAATATCATCGTGTTAGAAGACAAAAATAGCTTTCTCTAACATTAATATTGAATTGCTCTTAGATTCCTGTTGTTTTACCGCCCTTCACGTAAGTTAACTGATTATAAATTCAGTGCGGAGGATGAAAAATAGAAGTTTTGGACACTTATGGTCACCTTAGAAGAAAGAAGAGTTGAACGTGCGAAATAAAAAATAAATAATTATTTTCCTGATTAGGAATTCGACATTGGACTAACCAAAACAACAGCCTTTGAAGAATGAAAGTGTCGCTAAATCGGATTTGTATTACAATTGAAAGCAGCTTTGGAACGGTCAAGTTTGGGCATTTATTTGAATTTTAGATTTAAATTTCATAAATGGTTTTGAAGGCGGATATGTAAATTATTTAGTTTCTAGAAACAGTTCTCTTCTAACAGTTCGAAAATTGATTAGAGAGGCAAGAAAAAAAATAGGCAAGATGTACGTTCAGCTCCAAACTTCGTTTTGGTAAAAGAAACTATGGCGAAAACAATAGAGTTGCCTTTAGGACTAATGCTTTGTTTAAGAATAGCATAGGGGTTATACAGAAACCTCTCCGAAAATAGCAACAAAGCCTGCCTGTGTATTGAAATACCATTAACTCCACTTACACGTTAAACAAAAAGGTCTACCTTTCAGACAGTGGAATCTCACATTTTTCATAGAATGCCGTTGATTTTGCACCCCGTAACCTTTTTTGTTTCTGACAAATCAGAAGCGTAAGATAAGAATCATGGTCGGGTAACCGCTCCTATGTTTTTCATTCTTGCTCAGACCTCCCTCGGCCCTTCCCGATGCAGATAAGATAAATGTGTGCTCTCAAGACACACGTCAATACAGCTCAACTCAACCACACGAACCGAGGAGAAGAAGATTTCGCTCTCGCATCATGTCCTTAGCCATGCCAACTCTTCTTTTGATGTTCGTTCTGGATTTAGCCGCAATCTTTTTCAACGGACTACTGTTACTGAGCTGCTTCAGACATGAAAAAAAATACAGATTTTTCAAAAAGTGCTGGATACTTTTAGGTCTTCAGGTCGCTTGCCAAGTTGTAATTCTGGTCGCGGATGCCGTGGAATGGTGGAATGGTTTCCGTATTCAAGCTACGGAATCCTGTAATGTCTTGAGAGTTCTTTCCTTGTCCATGATGTTTTTTCAAATTACTAACCTTACGGCAATCATGAAAGTGTGTTATCAACATCCCTCAGTACATGCAGAACATAAATTGTACGCGGTGCTTTTTTTGGGATTCATCGCTTCCGCAATGATCTTTTGGCCTTGGTGCTTCTCGAAAACGGCCATTTTTCAAGCCGTCCATAAAGCTGCGTTGCTTTTAACCATGTCTATTGACGTCTATTTGGTTTCCGTGGCCTTGGCTAAAGACAATACTGAATACAATGAGGAGTTCATGTCATCAAAATCAGACGCCGCGATGGATTCACGTTTCTTGTTACGGTCTTGGAGAGCTTGGACAGACAACAAGAAGTCCTTATTCGTTATCTTTTTTCTTGCAGCATGTTCGGTGCTGATTTTCAGCGACGTGGCCCTTGCTCGTTTCGAATCAGCTCTATGGGGTCGCGATTTGAAAAGAGACACGTTGTTTGATGGAACTGTTTATTTACTGATCCTGAAATTTTGTTTGGGAACATGTTTGCCATTAACACTGTATGATTTAATATATTTAAGCTATCCCAGAAAGAAAGGCAAAGGCACCATAACAGTAACAATTTGAAAGAAAGCTTATAACAAATGGGTTTACTCGATCTTCCTATGAAGGTTTTTTTTTTTTTTTTTTTTTTTTTGTAAAGTAAAGAAAACAAGTGGCTACTTATTTTGCATTTCATTGA